CTCCGCCTGTTTTAACCCATCTGCACCGTTCCAGGCTGGAATTCTCCAGCTGTTTAACCCATCCGCCGTTCCAGGCTGGAATTCTCCAGCTGTTAAACCCATCCACGCCGTTCCGGGCTGGAATTCTCCACCTGTTTAACCCATCCACCATTCCAGGCTGGAATTCTCCACCTGTTTAACCCATCCAGCTCAGTTACCTTCACGTGGGCAGCTTTTATTTGTCCCGACTCCCACACCTTGTTTTCCCTCCCTCTCTGATTTGTGACAGGCCCTGTTTTGTCTGGGAGTTCTTTAATTGTCTTAGGGCAGCTGATCCCTGGATTATTAAGGGGCAGGAATTTTATGGGAATTAACTGCCAGTGAGTCTGCATTGATCAAGGGTTTAAATCAAGCTATTGCCATGAACTGCAGGCCTTTGCAGTGGTTTGCTGAGGGGTCTGCCCTTTAAATGCAGCCAGGAGGGGGTTTTGTGTTTTTTGTGGGAAAACACTGAGGGTTGTTGTCGCGACATATTTGTGACATCCAGCCCATCAGCTCTTCCAGCATCACATATTTCCAGCTCTCATTCTCATTTTTTGTCCTGTAAGTGCATATCTGAATGAATTGATTTGTTCTTTTTAATCAAGCAAGCAGAATTCCTGTGCAGAATCAGGATGAAGCTTAATGTTCCTTTCCACTGGAGCTTTAGCAGAGGTTCTAAAAGAAGCTTTAACAGTTTTACAGTGACCAGTGTGAGCGAACTGTGGTGATTTGTGAGCAGCAGTGGTTCTGGCAGGGTTGGTATTGCCAAGGAAAAGGATGTGCTACGTTCAACTGCAGTTATTTAAGCTCTTCTGTAGCTCGGAATATTTAAATATTTAAAGTGGTCTCAGCCTTTGTGGAAAGGCTGATTTTCAGATGGGATATTCAACGCCAAGCTGGAGTCGTTGGGAATAAACTCCTCTTTAAAAAAATAAATCATTATGGAGGGATTATCAGATTTAACCAGTTCGTTTTGTTTTTTCCTGACGTGATACAGCAGAGCTGAGGGATTCAGGTGCTCATGTGTGAAAGAGGAGCAAGTTTTTGTCTTGCCCTGCCCCGTCTGTGCACAGACATGAGGGGGAGCTGTGTGAAGGGATCCTGTGATTCCAGGATCCATCTCTGGGACGAGGGATTGAAAATACCCTGGGAAAGGGAGCTGCTGTGATGTTAGTGAGCAAACCCAGGATTCCTGGGCTGCAGAAAGTGCTGCTGCTGGTAATCACAGCTTGTCTGAGCAGCAACAGGACAGTAGAAATGACTATTTGCTTGCTTGCTTTTTATTTTGAGGAGTGGGACAACTGTGCTGCTTTTCTGCTTGAGGGAGGCATTAAGAATAAAGGAATGAACTTGATGTGAGAAGATGTTCCAGTAAGATAAAGATTTTGGCCTAGGGTAGATTAAAGGAAATAAGGGAGGGGGAAGAGTTTGTTCTCCTGGAAGAGTTAAAGCACAAAGTTCAGATGGCTGATGAGAAATACAGAATTGCTGACCAGAAACAATTCTGTTCTGAGAAATCCTGACAGCAGCAGGCCTACGTTTGAAAATCCACCCTGCTTCTAGCACTGGAGCTGTGTTTATCAGGGTGGGAGCTCCAGGACTTCATCTGGATTCTCTGGGGTGCCAACCATCACCTCTTATTCTCTTGCTGCTGAGTGTCAGTTTTTCTGCTTTCCTTTAAACTGTGTGCAAATAGAAACTGAAGTAGCCAGTGACTTGGGCTGACACTGTAACTCAGCCCTGTGAGGTGCCTCTGGTGAGATGTATCCCTGGCTGTGTTGCAGGTTGTGGGAGACGGGCTGGAAGCAGCGCTACTACAAGAACAAATTCGACGTGGACGCCTCCGACGAGAAATTCCGGCGCAAGGTGGTGCAGTCCTACGTGGAAGGGCTCTGCTGGGTTCTCAGATATTACTACCAGGTACCTCAGATTTGCAGCTCTGAATTTTCTCTCGTGCCTGCACCCTGTTTTGTTTCGGCCTGTTGGTCATTGTGGGAAAGCAGTGGGGTTTTTTAAGATGTACAATAAGCATTTGGTACTCAGGGTTTGAGTGCAGTTTCACCACCTGTGGAGGTGTCAAAAAGCGACTGTACGTGGCACTCAGTGCCCTGGTCTAGTTGACAAGGTGGTCATGGGTCACAGGTTGGACTCCATGATCTTGGAGGTCTTTTCCAACCTCAGTGATTCCATGGTTCTGCCTCTCATGTGCAGTAAAGACTCTTGTTGCTGTAGTAAGGACCGATTCCACTTTCCCTCTGCAACACAAAGCCGTGGATAACGACATTGCAGGTGACTAAAGGAGGGAACAAAGGACAAAGCCTGTGAAATGCCAGTAAGAATTGGAAAGGCCCAGAGTTGTCAGTGGATTGTAATGATGTTCCATGAAGTGTGTTGTGTGATTGAAGTAATCTGCACCCGATTTAAATCTTCTGATAATTGAGATGTCAGATTGGCGAGAGATTAGTGGGACGTGGTGGGGTTTGTTGCACTGCTGGTTAATGAGGAGCTCCGTGCCCTGCAGGCAGAGTGAGTTGGCTGTGCTGTGTGACCTGGGAGCACAATGTGCTGCAGCTGAAGGGGTTTATCTGCCTCGGCAGGAATTGGTGGTTTCAGCACAATTGATAGAACTGCACATTTTCTGTGGGTGTCCAGCTGGGAGCTCACACCTGGGAGCACAGGCAGGGCAAACACCTCACACACCTACAAAACACTGTGCACCTTAAAATAGGGTTTTTTTCATCCCCCCCTTGGAACAAACTGTGGGAGTGTGTTCCCCTCCCTCCCACTGCATCCATCTGTTGGGTTTGGGCTCTGGCTCATTTGTTGTGGTAGATGAAAATCATGGAGTTTAAGGTCTGCTGAGCTCTCCACCTCCTTGTGTGTGTGACCTGAGACCTCCTTTTGCAAAGGACAGATGTCACCTGGACACCTTCATGGGTGGGAATTCCTGTGATCCTGCACACGCTGAAAGCAAACCATGTTCTTCTTAACCATGGCAAGACATATCCTACAATTCTATTCATGCCCATCTGTCTCCAGGGGTATAAATGACTCTTCAGGTGAGCTGTAGAAACGTCCTTGCTGGAAAACTGTCTCACCTTCAGTGATACAACAGCACAAAACCATTCCAGCCTGTTGCATTTGGGAAGGAGCAGCTGGCAAAATGCTGTGTGGAAATTAGGTTAGGAAGTGATTGGGGGCTGGGGGAACTTCAGAATAGTTGGTTTGTTTTATTTTTTCCTTTGTACCATAATAAAAAATTGATTCTAATAACTACTGCTCCCCGTCCACGAAAACTTGTGACAGGATGTGTTACCTGCCTTTCTGTTCTCACAAAAAGCTAATAATGCAGGGCATGTTCCACTAGTGGGAACATCTGCTTGGAGAGGAGAAAAAAAAAAGAAGGAAAAGAAAGAAAGCAATCCACCTGGCTTTTGAAACCTCCTGAAGCCATCTGAAGGATTGCATTGAATAATTATAGTCGCTGTAATTTTGTACCAAAAATATCACTGGAGGAGCCTCGTTGACATTTACTTGTTCAGAATTGGAAGTCAAAATAGTAGTGGGCTTTTGTTTCGAGTGGTGCTGCTAAGAAAAATAGCTGAGGAGGTGAAAACTTGACTTGGACCTCCCTGAGCCACGTTTCCTTTACCAAGTGCAGGGTGTTCTGGTGCGTTTGGAGTTTGTTTTCTCCTTTTTGAGGACGCACTTTACATTCCCCAGTGTTCGAGCCAGGAGAGTGAGAGGGAAGGAGCAAAAGTGCTGCTCCAAGTGTGTGTCGGTGCTGGTGCCAGAGAGAGAAGTCACAGCTGAAGCCACAGAATGCTTTCCAGCCTGCAGCAAGCATTGGTCACATTTTCACACCTCACAGGGCGTGTTGGGGGGTCTCTGGCCCCGCACCTGCCCCAGTTAGCAGTGGGGTTTTGCTTTGAGAAACAGGAGTGCACCAGAACTCCTTTCTGCCACGTTTTTCGTCTCTAGTGACCGGGGCTGCGGGATTTTTAATTTTGTTTAATCATTCTGACGTGTCTGATTTTTGTTTGTCTCGCTTCTCCCCCTCAGGGCTGTGCATCCTGGAACTGGTATTACCCTTTTCACTACGCTCCCTTCGCTTCTGACTTCGAGGGGATCGCAGACATGCCTTCAGATTTTGAGAAAGGCTCCAAACCGGTAGGGCTCCTCTATTTATTCTTTGAGTTATTTATTTATTTGATCATTTGTGATTTAACACCTCATCTGCTTGTCCTACATCTGCTTGTCCTGCCATCTGCTTGTCTGATTCCAACAGTTTAAGCCCCTTGAACAACTGATGGGAGTGTTTCCAGCTGCCAGTGGGAACTTTCTGCCGCCAACGTGGAGGAAGCTGATGACAGACCCGGTGAGAATCTTTGTTGTGCCCACTCTGAAAGGCTGGGTCACCTTGCCAGGGGTGTGAACACCACCTCCTGCTGCTCCTTGCTTCAAAAAATGCTGGAGACCAGGAGGTTTGTAGTAGGTTGCAAGGATTCTTCAAAAAAAAAAAAAAATCCTTAAAAGCGATTTCTTGGCGTTCAGATGTTTGGGTGAGAACTCGTTTCCTGGCTCTCTTACACTTCAGGTTGTTCAGGTCCTTACAGCAGCCTTGCAAAGCTTAATCCAGCAGATCACCTGCAGTTTTTCTCTCCTGCTTAATTTCTTGTTTTGAATCTCTAAGTAATGGACATGCCCAACCACACTTGATGCTTAAATGGCATTTATTAAAAGGTATTTTTATTAGTCACAGGTCTCTGCACCCCCCTTAGAGCTGTGTTTGGTGCCTCGTGACACTCTGAACCCGTGTCAGGATTGGCTCTGAGGGTCATTTTTTGTTTCCTCAATGACAGGAATCGAGCATCATTGACTTCTACCCTGAAGATTTTGCTATTGATTTAAATGGGAAGAAATACGCTTGGCAAGGTGAAATTTCAACTGCTTTTTTCCTTTTTTTTTTTTTAAGAATCTGTAAAAATGGGAAGGAATTGGGAAATTATCTTAGTAAGTCACACGGGTACCTTGTGTTACTTGGTGTGGGGCCAAGTGTTTTCCAGCAGGTGTATTTTCAAAAAGAAATCACTACGAAGAACAAATTATGGTTCAGGAACTGATTTTGGATTGGCAATTATTATGAGTAATTTCAGCAGCCATTCCAGATTTGTTAATTTTTCCTGAACTAGATTAATCATTCTTCTGTTTTTATCAGCCTCGCTGTGTAATTGTCTTTTGTCTCCTTTGCATTTAATTAATGGATCTTGTTCTGCTCAATCAGTGGCTCGTTAGTACTGTGCCAAAAATGCTTTGGGGAATATAGAAATATTTGGGAGCGTACAAAGAATGAAAAAAGAGCTACAGTATTTATGCAGCTTTTTCTCTCCTTAGAGAATATTAATTTTCAAGGTCTGCCAAGTTCTGTGGGTGGTTACACTGTGAGTAATTTCACTGCAGGTGAAGTTTTGGGTTGTCCTTTCCTTCAGTTCTAGGACAACAGTATTTGTTTTAATGAAGCCACGTAGAGATGTGACTTCTGAAGCAAAAGTGTTTCAGGCAGACCAAGTTTTAAATTGGGAATTCACGGTGGGAGTTCAGAGTCCCTGTGAATGTTGTGCCTTAAAGAGATGGCAAACCACAGGAAACTCTCAATATCAGTTTTTTTGGGTCGCCTTGGCCAGGAAAAGCTCTGGTGTTCATGGCAAGGGAAATGAAAAACAAAATTAAGGTAATTACTCCAGATTCCCACCAATAATCAGAGTGACAGAAGCGAAAATTCGAAGAATTTTCATAGTAAATTCCCCGGGGCTTTTTGATTTTTGCGGTGGAAGGAAACCCTTTCTTGGCTGAGGAAATCTATCAGAGCTTTCCATCCTAGTCTGTTTTTTTTGGGGGGTTGTTTTGGGTTTTCTCAGCAGGTGTGAAAAAACACTGTTTTGGTTTTGCAGGTGTCGCGTTATTGCCCTTTGTGGACGAGCGACGCCTCAGAGCTGCCCTGGAGGAAGTGTACCCTGACCTCACCCCCGAAGAGAGTAAGAGTTGGGATGTTTTGTTAAAAAATTGGGATATTTTGTTAAAAAATCGGGATATTTTGTTAAGGAATTGGGATATTTTGTTGCCTCTCGGGTGTTGCACCCTGAGTGAACAGGGCGTGACAGGTGTTTGGTTGGGTTATGGCAGACTCTTCTTGGTGGGCTCTGCTGGTAATTAGAGTGATCCTGCTGGGTTTGTTTTTTGTGGCTTGTGGAGGCAAACGGGGGTGTTTGTTTCTCCATTTTCCTGTGGGTGAGGTGTGTGGGGCCTGGGGGATTTTGGGTTGGGTTTTTTACCCAGCCCCTCTGGATCTGCAGTGTTACTCTGTACTAAATTCAGGGTTCCTTCCACTGAACATGAGATTGCTGCTGTTTTATTGCCTGCCAGCTGCCCCTGTGAGCAGAGCCATCCTGCTCTGGGCACACACTGTCCTTCCCACACTCTCCAGGAATGTCCAAAGCTTTCTCCCCAGTCACACTGAAGCTTGGCTTTTGTGGAGGTGTCACCAGGACAGTGTTGCAGGTCTGCCGTGTTCCTTCCTTCCCTCCTTGCTCTGAGCTCTTATCCCACTCCCTTCCCCTTCCCAGGCAGGAGGAACAGCCTTGGTGGTGACGTTCTCTTCGTCGGGAAGCACCACCCGCTCTGCGACTTCATCGTGGAGCAGTACAAGACCAAAAACACAGAGGTGGGTTGTGCTTGGGGGAATGGGGAGGTTGAAGGTCTAATAAAGTGCTCCAGCTGAGCAGCTCTGTCCTCCCCAGGCCGTGGACATCCCCCCGGAGCTGTGCCACGGGATCCAGGGGAAGCTGACCCTGAATGACAACGCCGTCCTCCCGGACCAGTGAGTGTGGCCTGGGCTGGGTCCTTGCTGCTCAGGGACCTTCCCCTCACTTAGAAGTATCTTTGTGCCCACAAGGAGAAGCTTAAAGCTCCCAACAAGACCATTGTGTAGTTCTGAGGCTCAGCACTGAGGGTCCAGAGCGGGTGTGTGTCACCTCCAGCACGTGGAAAATCCCAGCCGAGTGAAAATCTCATCCCACAATCCTGCTTTTCTTAGCCTCAGAACTTGGCTTTTAGAGCAGCCTCAGAAATCTTTGAAGTGCCCTGACGTGTGTAGTTGCTGGTGAATCTGGTTTTGTTTGCCATTTCGCCTGTGGAAGGCTGATTTTTATGGATTTAGTAATTGTTTTATTAGGCAGACAAGGCCTGGGTAACAAAAGTCACAGTGCTCAGGGGCCTTGTTCAGTGAGGTTGTGTTGGTTTGGCCTCTCTGCTTTTGTATGAACATGAGTGTGGGCTGATGTGACTTCCCTTTAGTGCACATTGTCTAAAAAACCCAAAACTCTGCTTTTTATATGCTAACCTGCATTGCATTAGAGAAAAATCCAGATAATGGTATCTAAGATATATTTTGCCTTTGTCCATTTGTCCTGTAGCACTGAATTCAGGACTGTTCCCAGCTACACATAGGAAGAATGCTCATATTTTTTGTTTCCTAGAGAATGCATTTAGAGAAATGATCAGAGCAATCCTCACCTTTCATTTCTCTAACTGTGCTCGGAGGCATAAGCAGTTGTTCAGTGGCTCGTTTGCATTAAATGCACAAACACTGGCTTTGTTGCACAGATAATGGATCCCAGGCCACACTAATGGGCATTTCTCCATTCCTGTCATGGCTTGTGAGGAACCATGAGCAAGTCAGAGCTGTTCTTGGGAGGAACAGGAAAAAGAAAACTCTTGTGGCATCGAGAAATAAGGATTCGGTCAGTCCAGTCCTTATAGAAGTGCTGGATTTAGGGGAAAAGCAAGTTAATTTTCGGATCCCTGTTAGGTGCCACGGGCTGAGTTGACAGAGCACCAGGGCAAGAGCAGCAAGTGGTGAGAAATGTGTTCCCTGATGTTTTGACAGAGGTTTTTCTCCTGTCCAGGGTGGTGGAGTCTCCTGTTCCGATGCTGCGGGATCTTACCCAAAACTCTGCAGTCAGGTCAGTGACCTCTGGGTTTGATGCAGTGAGGCACAACACACAGCAACCAAAACTCATTTTACTGTGGCATTTTCTTGTTGGATTTGCAAGGCTTGGGCCTGTAACCTTTCACTTCTTGAGCCACATAAGATACTCGAGACACTGCAAATCACCTGTGATCTGTCTGTGTAATTTTTTCCTTCAAAGAGGCCTAACTTGGTTCAGCTAGAACAGGCAGGAAGAAATGCTGAGTTGTGGCTTGTCAGGATGCTGTGGGAAGGATGGTCTAAATGGGGATGTAGTTACTGTGAGTAATGAGTTAAAGAAAGGTTTTGACTTTCCATCTGCCACTGTCAGGGGCTCTGAGTTGTTCTGCACTTCTCTCCATCTCCTTCTCGCAAGGATTTTTCTTCCTGTCTCTGGAGATGGTATGAGCAGTCAGGGTTCTGCTCTTCAGCTCCTGTGACTGAGGCTGAACTTTCCAAGGGGCCATTATTCACTTTCCTTGGAGTCTCATTCATTCTTGGTGTTGAAAAGCAGATATATCCCAGCTGGAAGGGAGAGATTTATTCTACTCAGCCATTTGCTTTTAGCTTTCTTGGCACCCCAGGCATTCTTCTGTGTCAGGTGGTAGGTACTGAGAGAACAGGTTGGTGTCTTGTGCTTCAAACATGCCCCTGGTGGGACCTGCCTGAGAGCTGGATACTACACCAGGAGATGGGAATTGCAAACCCAGTGCTCTGTAATGTGTTGTACCAGTAGAAATGAAGCTTTCAGACAGTTTTTGCTCTATTGCTTTTTAGTTGGTCTGGTACTAGACAGCCCAAAGCTCAGGGTCTGTGAGATGTCACAGAAAATAGGGATGCATCCCTCCATGGGAGCTGCTTGGAACTGCCTTTCAGGATAAAAGTCATACATGGGTCTGACTGGTTTCTAGGCATGGAACTTCCTTTTTGGAACAGGGGAGGAAAAAAAGGGTCACCCTCTGGAAAATAATGGAGACATTGCAGTCCAACATATCCACGTGCAAGACATTCCCTCTGCAGTTTAAGTCGTGGGTTCATGGCCCTTTCCTGTTGTGTACATCACTGTTAATAAAGCAGTGATTGCTTTTCACTTTGGCTTCATTGTGAAGCGAACCTAATCCTCAAATATTTTCTCCTAGCATCTCCTTCAAAGATCCACAGTTTGCTGAAGACTTTGTTTTCAAGGCTACGGTGTTACCTGGGGCAAAGTAAGTGTCAGCTCTCGGCTTTCAAACAATCCCGGTGTGATTTATTCATCCCAGTGCTGGCTCTGATAAATATTTATGGCCCTGTTTTTATTCCTAAGGAAACCTGCTCCGGTGCTGAAGCCGGGAGACTGGGAAAAAACCAACAACGACGGCAGGCCTTGGAGGCCACAGCTGGGCTTCAACAGGGACAGGAAACCGGTGCACTTGGACCAGTCGGCCTTTAGAACCTTGGGGTGAGTGTGCTGGGGGTTCTGGCTGCCCTGCTGGGGTGGCAGCCCTTCTGTTCTGCTGCTCAAATTAATAAAAAACACAAACAAAGAGGGGGTGGGCATGGGCTGCCTTGGATGTTGGTGTTCCAAACTTCGGCGTCCGATGTTTAAAATCAATATTCTGCAAACAGAACATTGCAGTGATTTTGCAGCTTGCTTCTGGATGTTTTTTTTTTTTATCTCCTAAATGTTTCTAACTCGCTTTCCTGCTGTTTTGGTTTTTTTAAAACTCGTTTGGTGGATGCTTGCTCGAAGTACAGAAGGTACAATGAGAAGATTGCTCACAAGTGATAATTAAGACTGTTAATGAAGACAGGAGTGTCTTTTATGCTTTTAGAAGCGAAAAAGCTGTAAAAACCTGGTGCTGCACCACACAATCTGTTTGATTGTCCCTTTGCCAGGCACTGCCACAGTCAGTTTTTGTTAGTTGTCCAGAAATCCAAGTAACTTTCGCAGGTGCTGCAGTGTAGTGTGAGAATGGGAGAACAAGCTGGGGTTGTATATCACAGAAAAATTAAAGTTGAGTTAAATGCCTTTCCATACTGGGGAGTGCAAGGAGCCATGCATTTATCAGAGCCAGAGAAGAGAATGTTTTAAAGGACACTAATACTAGCAAATAAAATTGAAGTCATAAGTGTCTCTTTGGGAAGAGAAAACACCTTTATTATCTTAGGGATCTGGAGGAACTGGAGAAAGAAAAGGCACCACCTTTCCCTGCACTCGTGTGCTGGGAAGCAGGGTTGTTCTGGGGCTGGACTTGTGAACCCTCTTCTGTCCTCCCTTGCCACAGTCACAAAGAAAAGTGCAGCTGTGTCACTGAAAATGTGAGCACTTCCCCTGGAGCAGCTCCCGGGGCACGTGTGTGTGTCGGGATGTGCCTGGGCCCCGATCCACGAGCGCATCCCTGTGCTGTGCTGGCACGCTGGAGAGGGCTGGGGCTGGGCCAGGTGGCAGCTGTGCTGCAGGATGGAATTCATCACAACCCCCTGATCTTTCTCCTCTCCTCTCCTTACTTGGAACAGCCACACGATGCTGAGGGACAGGGGGATGCCAGGGATGTATCCCAACGCCGTGCCCATCGGAGCCTACGGCAGCCCCTACGCCAGGCCCCTGCTGGGGGGGCAGCAGCAGATCCCCAAGCTGTTGTCAAGTAAGTGCTTGCTGCATTTCAGAGTTTGGGTTTGGGCTGCTCTGTGGCACCAGCACAAGCAATAAGTGGGTCCGGGCACCTGCCTTCATTAACCTCATGTTGCTCCTCTCTGTTGCTCCTCTCTGTTGCTCCTCTCTGTTGCTC